TGGCCAGTGGAAGGTGTCACAGCTCCTTCATTTCAGGAACTGAATTTTTATCTGCATTTCTGTGTCCTGTGTTTCTTGTAGGATTTTCTTAGTTGTCCTAAAAATTTTTTATATTTAAATAAATCTTTACCTTCCGTACTTTCTGACTCATTGTCCTATTTTAGTGACAAATGTGAGAATGTGCTGTGTGTGCAGATTTGGTGAATGTCTGGGCAGTTGAACGCAGAAACCATCAAATCCTCACTGAATGGAAACCACAGCAGGAACCTGTCACTTTTCTCTTAATTCCTCACATGAGGATGAACCCTGACCTAGGACCTGAGAAGCCCGAGGGAGAGGAGGAGGTGAGGGAGGCAGCAGCAGAGGAGGGAAGAGGGGGAGGGAGGGTGTCACTGAGAGTCTGTGCTGGTTGTGACCAACCTTCTGGTTTGATCAGGAAGGTTGTGTCCATGACCAGGGTGGACACTAACATATCAGACATGATGGGTCAGTAGTGACACAGGATTCACACACATGACATTAATCTGTGGGGAGCATGGCTGTCTGGGTGACCATGTGCAGTTGCAGACACAGGATGTGAGCTGATAGGAAACATACGCTGGTCTCGGCCCCTGGACCTGGCACAGGCTCCTGAGCCCTTGTCACACCCTGGGGAATGGGCTGGCCTTTTGCTATTGAGGAGACGCTGGGTGGGCTCTGTGATTGACACCCTAAATGCAAGCAGCCCTCACCTCTGGGCCCAGGGGTTTTGGTCTCACTTCCTTGTCATCTGAGACACTGTGAGTAACTGTAGCTGCTCCCACTGCCATGAGTTGCAGCGCAGTAATAGTCGGCCTCATCCTCAGGCTGCAGCCCCGAGATGTGCAGGAGCCCTGCTTTGGCCGAGGCGTCTTTGGATCCTGAGAAGCGGCTGGGGACCCCGGAACCCTGGTTCTTACTTGAGTCTGATTTATATTCCAGGAGAAACCGGGGACGGCTCCCTGGCTGCTGCTGGTACCAGAGTATCCAGTTATCACTAATATCCGAAACACCACTCAGGGTGCAGGTGAGTCTGGCTGTTGTTCCAGGAGATGCAGAGAGGGAGGGAGGCTGAGTCAGCACAGGCTGGGAGAGGGACCCTGCAGACACAGACACTTGTCAGTGATGGGCAGGGACCAGGGGACGTTTCCCAGGAGACTGAGCAGGAAGGGAAGAAGCCTGGTCCCAGGCCTGTCCCTACCTGTGCAGTGAGAGAGGAGCGCGAGGAGCAGAGGAGTCCAGGCCATGGTGCTCACAGCCCTGAGCCCACAGTGGGGCTGGGCTGCCCAGGCCTCCTTTTCTCCCCCACCCTCTGCCAGAGGAGGGGCTGCCATGCAAATGGGGGTCCCTCCAGGGACTGCCTAGCCCCTCCCTGAGCCCTGGGGCTGGAGCTCAGCTCACACCCCAGACTGAGGGGCATGGAGGTGGGCTCACCCCTTGGGGGCCCTGGGAGGAAGCACCTGCTGAGACAGCACATCACGGAGCACAGAGCCCAGCCACAGGCCCAGGCTCCTATTAGTTCAGGTCCTTAATGTGCAGCTGCACTGGGACCACAGGGTGGTCCCACAGCGCCCCCTGCTGGTGGAAGCACACACAGGGGACTGTCTCTGGCCACACATCCTGGCCTGGTCCCAGGTCCTGTGACTCTGATGCACTGGAGCCTCCCTGCAGCGCCTCACTCCCAGGAGGAGTCCCGTCTGTGGGAGGAGCCATCATGGACACAAAGGACAGATTGATTAGGTCTCCCCTCCAGTGAAGATGGTACAACAGTCAGTGCACAGTGACCCTCATGTCCGACGTCACAGACCAGGGACACCTTCCTCTGGTTACTGGGACTCACAGGGCTGTTCAGGGAATTTCCCGGGAACACACTCAGGGGCAAGTTCAAAGGAGGACTTTCCACCAGACCTTTCAGGTCATGAGATGCATGTGCAGGTTCATAGAGATCTGATGGGATGGACTCAGACACATCATGGCTTTTGCAGGCCTCACATTGGCCAGTGGAAGGTGTCACAGCTCCTTCATTCCAGGAATTGACTTTTTATCACGTGTGTGGTGATCTGCATATCTGTGTCCTGTGTTTCCTGTTAGGATTTTCTCAGGTGTCTAACATTTTTTATATTTTAAATAAAACTTTACTATTGTACTTTCTGACTCATTGTCCTATTTTTCTGACAAATGTGAGATTGTGATGTGTGTGCAGGCTTAGTGAATGTCTGGGCAGTTGAATGCAGAAACTATGACATCCTCAATGTATGGAAACTACAGCAAGAATTGTCACTTTTCCCTCAAACCCGCCTTTGAGGGTGGAGTTAGACCTAAGGAGCCAGAGGGAGAGGCAGCAGCAGAGGAGTTAAGAGGAAGGGGGAGGGGTGTGCCATCATTTAGAGTCTGTACTGGTTGTGAACAACTTTAAGTAGGTTTGTTCAGACTAGAAAATGGTGTCTGTGACCAGCATGATTATTAACATCCTATATGATAAAAGCCTAAGATGCTAAGTGCCCAGTCACCCGGGCGGCCATTCAACCAATCAAAGTGTAATATCCTTATGATATGCTCAGGCCCTCAACCACTCGCTATGACACACACTGATGCCAATGGGGCAGACGCTCAATGCAGAATTGCCCCCTGGTGGTCGTGAGCTCCCACAGTGGGAGCGTGGCTCAGGCGGAAGCCAGGCTCAGGGGAGCAGGCCTAAGCCGTCAGTAGAACATTCCCTGAGTGCTCCCGGACTGTGAGAGGGGACAAGCTGGGCTGAGGGACACCCCCTCCAGTGCACGATTTTCGTGCACCAGGCCTCTAGTTTTAAATAGAACTGTACCTACTGTACTTTCTGACTCATTATCCTATTTTAGTGACAAATGTGAGATTGTGATGTGTGTGCAGATGTGGTGGACGACCTTGCAATTGAACGCAGAAACCCTCACATCCTCACTGAATGGACACCACAGCAGGAACTTGTCCCTTTGCCATGAAACCCTCACATGAGGATGGAGTTGAGCTGAGGAGTCGAGGGAGAGGAAGAGGTGAGGGAGGCAGCAGCAGAGGAGGGAAGAGGAAGAGGGAGGGTGTCACTGAGAGTCTGAGCTGTTTGTGAGCAACCTTCTGTGGGTTTGTTCAGGGAAGAAATTGGTTGTGTGTATGAACAAAGTGAACATGAACATCTCAGATATGATGGGTCAGTAGTGACACAGGTTTCACACACATGACATTAATCTGTGGGGGAGCATGGCTGTCTGGGTGACCATGTGTACTTGCAGACACAGGATGTGAGCTGATAGGAAACACACGCTGGTCACGGCCCTGGCCCCGGCACAGGCTCCTGCACCCTTGTCACTCCCTGGGGGACGTGCGGACCTTTTGCTCTGAAGAGTTGACTCTGCATGGGCTCCTGGGATTGACACCCAAGGGCAGACAGTCATCACCTCTGTGCCAGGGGTTTTGGTCTCACTTCCTCGTCATCTGAATCACTGTGAGCACCGCTATGATATGCAGCACAGTAATAGTCAGCCTCTTCCTCAGGCTGCAGCCCCGAGATGGTCAGGAGCCCCGCATTGGTCGAGGCATCTTTGGATCCAGAAAAGCGGCTGGGGACCCCAGAGCCCTGATCCTTATTTGAGTCTGAGTAGTAGGCCAGTAGGTACCGGGGACGGCTCCCAGGCTTCTGCTGGTACCAGGATATCCAGTAGCTGCCAACATTGAAGCCACTGCTCAGGGTGCAGGTGAGTCTGGCTGTGGCTCCCGGAGATGCAGAGAGGGAGGGCGGCTGAGTCAGCACAGGCTGGGAGAGGGACCCTGCGGACACAGACACTTGTCAGGGATGGGCAGGGACAAGGGGACATTTCCCAGGAGACTGAGCAGGAAGGGAAGAAGCCTGGTCCCAGGCCTGTCCCTACCTGTGCAGTGAGAGAGGAGCGCGAGGAGCAGAGGAGTCCAGGCCATGGTGCTCACAGCCCTGAGCCCACAGTGGGGCTGGGCTGCCCAGGCCTCCTTTTCTCCCCCACCCTCTGCCAGAGGAGGGGCTGCCATGCAAATG